AGAACTTTCTAAAAATGCAAAGAAAAAAAATCAAACACTTTGGTTTCTTAACGTTAAAGTTTAGCCTGAGAAAACAGCCGACATTTCACGACGTTACCACTGGTTTCCCCGTGAAATGACGTCTGAGAAACGAGCGCAGAAATTCCATACTGATGACGTATCATTACCCAGATCCGAGTAGTGCTTCTGATTGGTTGAAGCAAATTTCCTACGCGGCACGACCAATCAGAAGCACTACTCAGTTCTGGGTGGTGACGTGTCATCAGTATGGCATTTCTGCGCTCGTTTCTCAGACGTCATTTGGCGGGGAAAGCAGTGGTGGCGTCGCCAAATGTCGGCTGTTTTCTCAGGCTAGTTAAAGTTGTATAGTTACACTGTAGATTGTTGGAGAATAATATTAATGATTATCAGTTGTTTTCAGATGTATGGTTCGCGCTCTTTTGCGCATGTTCAGAATTGTCCATTCAGCGTACTATGTTTGGTTTTACACTACTGCGTGGTACTCCAACATACCTTCAAACTGTATGTGCAAATAGAACTTTATGTCGTGTTGATGGCACAAATTCAACGCACTTTGTCGAAGTTTTATCCCAGAAATAATTTGTTCCCTATGCTTCTCTTTGCTCGCAGTCTCTGTACTTCCTTAGCTCTTGAGACAGTTTACTAGCTTTTTTGCAAGGAGCAAGGCTTTTTGCTGCCAGGACTATTACCCATGTTTTCTCCGTGTTATCAGTTCAAAAGGTGTAAAAAGTCGGCTGATCGAGAGACAGCTTTGAACCGCTGCCAATAACGCAGTACTTCCTTGCCTCAGGGTATGAGTTTGTAGGCCTTTCAAAAAATCAAGTTAGATTAAACGTTTAAAGGCGGCAGAGTTGGTTTCTTTTGGTAGAGCGCTGATCTGCAGAGCGGAGTTGGCAAGCTCAAAACCCCGTGCCGGTTCAATACTCAGTGTCTTTAAAAACCAACAAGAAGGTACTTCTTTTGCCATGCAAATTGCTGATCCCATTTAATAAAAACGTCAAAATGGTGGCCCTATCATCAACAAGTCCTTTTCTAGATACCAATTAACAAATGGTAAACGGCTCAGCATGTACTATTGAGTTATAGTTGCACGCGGTAGGTTGCTAATCGCGAAAGACGCGTCGACTCTAGCTTCTTGAGTGCTTAGCAATCCTCCCAAGTGAAACTATAACTCAATCCCTTTGATTTATAACATAAACAAAAGAGAGAAACTTTTAATTTTGCTTACAGATTGCAGGGGAATGACGTGAGTTCTGTTATGGCGGGTACAAATCGTTCATTCCAAATTATCTTCTTTCAAAGATATCGTTTTGCTGAATAAGTAGTTTTCCGTCACAATGTGGATTACAAAACCTTTTACGTTATCTTCAACAGTCTTTTTAAAACTTTTCGTCAGTATAAATAAGACAAAAAATCTTTGCAAACCATGAGGGGAAAAAATGGAGTCGCGGACAGAGTCGCGTAGAAAGCTTTAAGATCGCGCCAGATTTCGTCATCATTCACCCAATGGGTAATTGGCCAATCAGAGCGTGCGCTTTAATTTTGTTATGTTATGTATATGGATGACGTATGCTGGTTGAAATGTAGCTGCCTGGGCCAACAAGATGTCTATCCATACGTATATGTATGTCCAGACGTATATGGATGTGTATGGATGACGACGTATATAATCCTTCCTACCTCTGCTATTTCTCTATCGGCTGTTTCCTTTGAACTATCAGAGTAACTGACCGAAGAAGCAAGCAGTAGATTTGATAACCCGTTCAGCATTTCATTGGAGATTTTTTCAATGGCTCCCCCATCCTCTCCACCTTGGGCCTTTCTCAGTAGTGTGTGAACCATGTTGGCATACTGCTTTGTTGCTAGAGCCTTACAAGAGAGAGCGCATGCAGAAATACAATTAAGGAAACATTATACAACACTACATGTAATTCACTTTCACCAGTATCGGGCAATTAGCAAGTTATTTGTATGGGATTGTACGCCTTCCCCTTTGGCTCAACAAAGCTCACACTTCTTTCTGTATTAAATGAAACGCGGGCGGACCAAATCGTGTCTCAGTTGGGCGAATTTGCCCCACATTTGGTGCCTTTTTATCTATGTGCAATTTTGTTAAAACAGCAAGATTTGGATGCCCTCATTATTATAAAAGTTTCTACGTTCACGCTTATAAAAAGGCACTGCTTAAATTCTAACGTATTTCTGTTTAAGTTGATAATGGACATACATTTTAAGATCAATTGACAGCTGTCAAAATTGGGTACCCGCTGACCAGTCTGAAATGACTGTGTACAATTTATTGAGGTGATGAGTTTTTTAAAGGTCTCCGCTGACCAGTTATCGCATTCAAGTGGTCGCAGGTTCACAAAACTTTACTTCATAAGAGTTTCACGTTTGGCTTTGGCTAAATCTATATAACGGTGACGTTCTCCTAGGTCTCTCATTCTGTTTTACCGCAGTCCACCCAGTCAGTACCTAAGCATTAACGTTAACGAAAGCTAAACATTTTGGCTCATTTCTATTACCTGCGCCTCTACTGTTATCTCCTTGACAACTCCAGTCGCAGCCTGGAGAGTCTGGGACCCCATTAACAGGTCTCCAAGGTTTTGAGGTTGAAAGTTGGCCAAGTACTGGATCATCTTTAGACGAAGCTGAAAATAAACGGTTATCGAGTTCAGATGATTCCTGCGGTTTTGATTGCAGCGCCACACCCTCAATTATGAGGCCGGTAATTAAATTCCTCTATTACGCGGCCACCTTTCTAGAGTGCCGCGTCCATCTTTCAGCACGGTCGAGCTCGCGACCAGGCTAAAGCTGGACCCTACCGTGAGCCATGACGACGCTAGCCTGCGCAGCTGGTGGAATAAGCAGCGAGTGCTGTAGTTTTTTGGCGGCGGAGCCGCGTGAAGATGCTCCGCAGCCAAGAAAGTACCCCGGGCACAACAATCTCGCGAGCTACGCAGGCTATGACTACACCGAAAGAGACTCTCCAAGCAGGCTTAGGAACTCATTACTAACTAATATGGCATTATCTATAATTACAGCTACAGTAGCTACTTATGGGCTGTGATGTGGATAGTCTAACGAAGGACCCAAATACCAGATTACCTATATACGAATTAAATATGGAGATACCCCGTTCCTCGTTCCTGTTGTAAACTTGCCTGTTGGTTTTCTGCCAGGAAATTGCTACTGGTGTCATTTTTACTGTTGAGTATGTTACTGATAACGTTTATGAGTTGTACGGCGACGATATCTGCTCCTAAGTCTACTGCCTTTTCGATTTGGTTTCCTTGTTCAAGTATCTCGCTTTTCAGTTCTTTTAGACTCACATTCCTCGGTTTTACCTGAAAAGAATAACAAGAAGGAGAACAAAATTTAATCAATTTCTACGTACTTTCTCAAATTCATGACATTCTAATTAGAGAGCAGTGTCGAGAAAAAAACGGAAAAAAAAATGGGTGAAGGAGCCCGGAAATGTTATCCTTATCGCCGTAACGTGATTTCTTTAAAAAGACTTCATCAATTTGAGAAGAATATGAAACAATCAAGTATTGTAACAGATCCATTTGATATCCAGACACCTTGAACTTCAGAGTGGTAAAAATCACTGAACTTAGCCTCATCGTTTCAACACAATTACAGCTTTCTAGAAAACATACGAAACTCTCCGATCTTCTTGGTGAACACCTTACCAAATCACACTCAACAGAGTGCAATCAAGTTTTCAAACACAAAAAAACTTTGGTCGGTTCATGTGTGTTCGGGGTCTTTTAAGAGACCTTAATGTATACCCGTTTTCCTTGTTCTCTAAAAACCTTAACAGTTCTCTTGTCCCTTAATAGTTATTTCAAAATATGCCCCTTGTTCCCCCCAAAATAAATGGTCTCTTTCCCTAGTTTCCTAAAGCCCGTTGAAGGCTCTCAGTGGTACCCGTCAAAGCTGAATCTGTGGTCGCTAATATTAAATCACTAATCATTACGAAGGAATTGTTACTTTTATTGTTAGGTTGTGTTGCACAAACTCCCCATATGCGTCTTTAATTTTCACCACGACATCAATGAAGTGTCTGTCCTCTTCTTTGCCGGCTGGAAATAAAAACTCAGCTGATTCTACAGAAGGACCAAGAAAGAACAGTACGCCATTTTGGGAGGAGCTTGGGTCTTTGCTGTCACGTTGGTAAGAGTAAAACATCTCATAGGTCAGCGGTTCGTGATCATCTTGCCAGCCGCTACAAGAAAACCTAAATCTTGTTTTGAGCTCCTCGCCAGTAATGGGTTTGACTTCACACGAGCCATCTTTAGGTGGATTATTGGTTTGGATGATATATTCGGCGAATCCTTGGACTTCTGGAAGAGTATATGATTATTTTTTTAGTATCCGGCAAAAGTTTGGAAAAACTAAACATTAATTGCCTCCCATAGCAAATGACTAATTTTGAAAAGTTATTGAAAGTGCGAGTACTATTATCAGAGGGGACAGGATTATTACAGTATTAGCCGTAAGCTTGCTTTAAGAATGCAGGCTGTTCCTTGGCGTAAACGAAACTACTGTTCGTTCCGAATTTGTTATGTTGAAGATATTATTCTATAGTTTCAATTTTTCGTGAACGCTTCATCGGCAACACCAAGACCCTGGCCAAAAAATGCTTCATTTCTAAGTTACTAAGATACTCTTTTATAAGAATTGAACAATGTATTTGTGCATGCTTAACCTGCGTTGGATCTGGAGGCCATGACTCGGATCTTGTACGAAGCACCACTGTCAAATGTATTCCCAAGGATGACCGCATTCTGTGAGTCTCGTGGCGTGAGGGCTCGGTCGGGCCATATCGAGAAAGGTACAGATGTTTCTACGTCCTCTGCTGACCAGTTATAATTGATTTGGTTGATGCCATCACAGTTGAGACATGTGGTCGTGAGGATAATTCTCCTGGAAGGATTTAGGTATGTTCCACAATTGGACTCACAACTAGAATTGGAATAAATCAAGAAAAATAACCTTCTCTGTAAATTCCATCATAGTTGCATTAAGTATTCACAGTATTTTCTTTCAGAGTACTAAAAATATGATCATAAGTACATCATTGTAATAAATACAGCCCCTATCAGGAGACCATGATCCAGAGAGAGTAACTCCTATGTCACTCTCATGTAACCTTTTCACGGAGCGGTTTATTTTTAGAGTAAATGTATTCCCGAGGAACTGAAGCGCCCCTTCGTCTATAAACGCATTTGAAGAATTAAATATCGTTGTTGAAAGGTCAAAATGTACTATTTGTAGGTCTTTAGCATTTGCGGCTGGTTTGCTGAAAACACCGTGACTAGCGTACATGGAAGTTGCTCGCTTTGGTATTATCGTGGCCTTTTGCCTCTATAATGATCTAAAGTTATTGAGGACCTTTTAAAATATAGTTTTGTTTTTTATAATGGGGTTTCTGTCATAGTTTACCGTATTTTGATATCTGGCGGGTTCCCGATCAACACTTTCACCTCTTGCGTTGCTGTTGACCAGCGGCTGGTGCTGGATGAACTGACGTTTACAGTGAACGCATAAGTTGTAGCCTCTATAAGGCTCCTCGGTGCAATTTTGAAGACTTTGCCTTCGAATTCAACTTGATTTTCTCCATTTCCAAAACAATCAGAACCCGGTGTAATCATATCAGCATCATTTTTGGTAATGTTGCAAAACCAAGCGTGATTCAAGTTGTCGTCTTTTGGCGATAGTGGGTCGATCGATTTGGTTGCATCCAATACGAGCCATTGGCCCCAGTCATGTGACCTGAAATCTCCACCGGCAATGCGGGCTTCGATGTCTGAGTCTGCGATGCTAACGAAGGTGTAGTCAGCGTTATTTACACCGACGTCGGATATTGAGACAGTGAGCTGGAAGATGTAATCGCCGGGGCCCAGGCCGAACGCGGGAATCGAAATTGAGGACTGGTCCGTGATAATATCAGAAGACAGACTGCAAAGATGAAAAAAAAATTCTCCTTATAAACGTTTTCGAGTGCATCAAAGCCGGGACTCTACCTCAAAACCGATCATTTTCTACTTAAGAAAAGAGTCTTTTAAACAATTTATCAGTGAAGTTTGGCAAAAAGCAAAATGTACCCAACCCCCTTCCCAGGGGCTCTTGATCTGATATGCTGATTTCAAAAAGATGCTATTTTATCATCTATTTCGAGCAGTGAAATAAATTAAAGAAAGGAAAGCCGTTTTGAAAGCTCCATTATCAGTTAAAACGAGAACTGTATGGTCTTAGCAATTTCTTCTTCGTAGTGAAACTGAGAAAGTCTATCAGACTACGGAATTATTATTATTTTTTCATTTTCCATAAGGTATCGGTTTTGAAACTCTTGGGGTTAAAAAGAAAAGCTAATACTATGTTTGCTTGCTATTTGAGAACTGAGGGTACTGACTTTGACCTTCGACGACTAGACCTTCGCGTGGCTCGGTTGAACGCCTAGAAATGGTGGTCTCGTCTCCACTACAAAATCCCACGTTCGATATAGTAAATTTTTAACATGATTATGAGGCTTTCTGGTCATTTTTCTACATTTGGTTTGGTTTTCTTTCTTCTGGTAATTGCGACACAATGGAATCGTGAAAAATTTGCAATTTTGTCGCTAAAGCCTCGGAGTCGTGTTGGAATTTTAATATATCAAACGTGGGTTGTTACAATTACGATTACGATTACCACTGCCATTACCATTGCAATTACAATTACGATTACGATTACGGTTGCAATTACGATTACCATTACCATTGCAATTACAATTACGATTACGATTACGATTGCAATTACGATTACGATTAAGATTACGATTACCATTGCAATTACAATTACGATTACGATTACGATTGCAATTACGATTACGATTACCATTACCATTAGTGCAATTACAAATAAAATTACATTGCTCAAGTAAAGTGCGTTTTATTTACTTCAATTCTCTCGCTGTCTCCGGAGGAAGTTGCACGTGAACAGAAGCTGCAGGGCTATGATATGAATCGGCTTTAAACACAACCCATTTAAAGCTGACTTTGAAGCTTTTATTGCTTGATATCCTGACGCTAGAGCTGAGAGAAAATCGTGTTCCAAACAAAAAAGACGTGATATTCGTTAAGTTTTTTTGGCCTCCCCTCACTTGCACTGCGGGGACTGGAACTGGCTCATCTGTTACTGCAACTGAAGAACGAGCTGATTGCTGAGATGCCTCGTTCCAGGCCCACACTTGCGCCTCGAACAATCCCTTGCTTGTGTACCTATGACTGTAAACTTGTGCGTAGTAATCTGAAGGAGTGAACGGCAAGTTGATATTAGGGTCGAGGTTATTTTCCGCTTTTAGTTTGGAGTTGCTCTTAAAATTTTTGCGGTTGAGAGTAACGTTATCTCCTTCACCAGGATTGAAAACAAACTGAGAATCCGTTCCGAGGCTCGAACAAAACGCGACAAAAGTGATACTCTCTTCGGGTCTTGCTGAAGCATTGGCCGCTAAATACAAACCCCGTACGGTATGCTGTAGAGTTATTTTAACTTTCAGAATCTTCTCTCCCAAGCTGTTATAAACTTTAGCCGTAATATTGTAATTCCCAGGCAGTGGATAGGCATGCGTAGTAACAGCTTCAGTGACGTTTTGCGATTCATGGAAATCCCCGTATGACCAATCATACCTCAAGCATGTTCCCGTGTCTTGCGAAATCGCAAAGGATACTGGGTACTCAAACGGGAAGGTGTTCCGAGTTGAGCCTCCACCCACAGTTCCCGGACGAGCCGAGTATTTCGAATTCAAGGCTTTGAGTTTGGCGTTTCTGATTGGCTGTACGATTTCAACAGGTGCCGATAACTCGACACGACTCACAAAATTCCGTATAATCAGCTTAGCATTGTAACACCCCGGTGCGGAGTAAGAGTAGTTATAACTAAACTGCGTTTGCGCAGGCTCAACCAGTATGTCCATTGATTTCTCGCCATTTCCAAAATAGATGCAGTATGTTGTGTTGAGAAGCTCTGGAAGCAACGATTCTCTATTAAATTGGAAAGTCATGTTCCTCGACGGCCAAACTGCCTTATATTGCTGATGGAATGAAAATCCTTTAACGGCACCTAGAATTGTTACGGTACGTTTAGTTTTGTTAGAAGAATTTTCGTTAGAGGCCTCAACCTCTAGTTCATAATTTCCTTGTGTATTATATACATGACTTGATACAAACGTCTGCTTTCCAAAGCCTTTGGTTTTCCGGGTGTTATCAACCCCATCACCATATTTCCAAAGAACTTTAACATCTAATCCTGATTCAACGGAGACAATGATCGGGACTTTACTACCGGTTCTGACTACTGGATTATACCAGACCTTTAAGTCAGATATTTCCTCCAAAAAGGTGACTGTAGCCTGCAAGCTTTGTGGAGACGTGACGGAGTTCGACAGCTCAATGTTGACGACGTATTTTCCTGGATTGGAACATAATGATTGGTTTAACGTCACAGAGCCTGTTTTACTGGTTTGTTGTCTTGGAATAGAACCATGACCTGATAGCGTGACACTGAGCTCGATATTTGTACCCGTTTCCCAGATCCACTCAATAGTAACATCGTGACCAAATGTTGTGTTAATCACTTCACTTCCGGTCTTAAATCTAAGTCCAGTGATAAATTCGTCTACCCGTGCTATTGTATGGACGACGTCACCTCCTAACGGATTGTCACAGTGTGCAGTCACATCAAAACTACCCACTTCACTGTAAGTATGTAATACAGGATTTCCTAGATTTTCGTCCTTAAACGTTTCATTGGTCCCGTCGCCAAAGTCAACCAGGCACTTGAATAAGAAACCATAATCAAAGGTGATGAGAATTTTGCTTGCATTCCCAGGAGTGGTAGCTTTGCAGGATACATTGAGCCCACGAATCTCCAGCGGCGTGTTTGGCTTCTCTACCGTGATTGTCTCATTAAGCTGCGTTGTTTTCAAAGCAGTTATAGAATTCCTAGCGGTGACTGTGACATTAAACTGGCCGTGTTTCCTATACTGATGAGAAACAGTGTTATTTGATGTTTGTACGTCATTTGAACCATCAGCAAATTGAAACTCATAAGTTACACGACTCCCTTTCAGAACTGACGCAAGGATAACCACACTTTGGTACAATTGTATTGTACTTTGTTTGGTGTGCGCTGAGAGGCCCTCTATGGCTTCATCTACCATGGCACTTCCTGTAATTGTACTATTGGGTCCCACTAAGTTATAAGCAGTGATTTGGACTATATACGCACCCCATGACGTGTAGTTGTGACGCACGGTGACGTTTGTTCCGGCATCGACGGCGTCCAGAACATGAGGTGCGCTTCCGTCACCATAGTTGATTTCAAATTTTACGTCACTGCCGTCACTGATACTCCATGATATAACTGAAGATAAACCAATTTTAGCAGCAGCGATTGGATGCACGAACGCGAGGCCTTGAATCTGACGCTGCACTGAAATTGTTTTTATCACATTCTGGAAGCTTAGTTGATTGGCTGCCTTAACTGTGACATTGAACACACCTTCACTGTTATAAGCCTTAACCAAGGAATTTAAAGTGATTACTTGACTTGCTTCCCCGTCACCAAAGTTGATTATATAGCTTACATTGCTTCCTTTAGTTTGCGAAAAGTGAAATGTTATCGGGTTCCCAGGACTTGCATGATCACTAACTTCCAACTTAAACCCTTCGATTCTTTCCTGCGCATCCACTATAACCCAGGCTTTGAGCTGACTGATTACGTTATAAGCTTGTATAGTGATGTTAAACTGGCCTGTGCTCGCAAACGAGTGTCCGACGGAGTTATTACTCTCTCCTGTTAGCAGTTTTGAGCCTTTATAGGTGCGAATGGTGCTTCCATCTCCAAAATTCCACCGGAAATATACATCAGTACCCACGCATACTTTGCTGTAAAAAATTGTGTCTGTTCCAACTGCCACAAGTTTTTGTCCCTGAAATTCAGATTCAGCAACGACACCTACAGTTATGTTATGTAAAGGATCTTGCACTGTCACGTTGTAAAAAACAATCACTTGATTGACAGCGTTCTCAGCAGTCAAGATGATTTGCCATCGACCGGAAACAAATGTCCGATTGAAAAGATAGTTCGGTGGAAAATCTCGTGCGACAAATCCGTCACCGAAATCAAGACGATATCTGACGTCACTTCCGGTACCCTTTGTGATGTTAAAAGTTATTGTGGAATTAGACGGCGCAGGATTCGGGAAAGCGGTTATACTCAGTCCCAAAATGCGCTCTTGAACAGGGAAAGTTATCGAGGCAAATCCAAAGGAAACGGAGTTTGAGACGTTTACACTTACAGTGTATACTCCTGTTGAATTGAAAGAGAGTTCGATCGATTGACTGTTGATGTTGTTGTTGTTGTTGTTATCTGTGCAAACCATGATAATCATGCTATTGTTACTATACAAGTACCATTCATATGTTAAATTGTTTCCTGTTTTTGTGTGGGCTGTGAAAGTCTTGTTATCAAAGAGTTCTATTCCAGTGATGTTGTTAATCTTTAGACCCGAGACTGGCTCTAGCACAAGAATCTTCGAGCTCGCGTTTACATTTACCTCACTTCTTAGCTTGACTGAAATTGTGTAGGTTCCTCCGTTAGAGTAATTGTGAGTCACCTGGACTTTGTTAAGACCCTCCTCTGTGCTGCCATCGCCGTAATCCCAGTAGTAATACTGGTCTGGCGGAAAGAATCCAATTAATGTACAAGACGCGTTTATGGCCACGCCAACCTCACCCTTTGATGGAACAGATATACTTAGAGGGTTTAGCACGTGAACAGTTTGCCAGGTTCTCTCTGTGTATGCCAGGTTATTAGCAATTACGGAGACGTTTAAAAGTCCTGTCTCAGAGAAACGATGAAAGACAGTTGTGTTTGAAATGTAATTCGTCCTGGAACCGTCGCCGAAGTCCCATTTGAACTTGGCATTGGACCCGCTTACCGACACATTCAGCTCTGTCAAGGCACCAAGAAAGACTTTGTCCGAAATCACAAAGGCAACAAGATCAGTTAGACCGTCTTGAACGTGGACCAACACTGTACTGTTTATAACGCTGACGTTATTGGCAGCCTCGACCAAAAAAACGTACGTTCCTAAGCTCGGAAACGTCTGGTTGAGCCTGTCGACAACAAAACTGCTGTCTTCACTTAATAAAGTTTCATGTCTTATTACCCCACTGGAGTTAACAAGGGTCCAAGATACTGTTATATTCTCGTCAGAGGTGATATTAACAATTAGTTCAATTTCTTCGTTTACCTTAGCGCCAAAAAAGGAAAATCCTGGCTGGTAGACAACTTTTATTTTCGAAAGAGGATCCTGTATTTGGAATGGTCTAACTATTGGCGCCAAAGCATTTCCGAAAGTATCATTAATTTTGACTTGGGCCCAGTACATCCCAGACGAGTTAAATTGATGGCTGAATTCGAACATAGCAGCCTGAGATCCAATGATGTTGACCAGGTACGTCAAGTTTATAATCAATTGTGATTGGTTGACCGACACATTTGTTCCAGTTTGAAGTGTCTGCGCATCCAATGCTGAAAAGTGATACACCGTGCCTCCCCCCGTTTTTTGCGCAATTTTTCCATTTGCTGTCGGTCCCCAAGCTATCATATCTCCAGGCAAAACGTTCACTTTCTGATCCTTGGGAAGTACATGAAGGTTGTAACCTGTTTGGATCGCCAACACTCCGATGTAAGCTGCTATGATCAACGAATCAGCCGAGAGATTTGTTGGGGAGAACAGCTGAGAGCAGTTTTCACTCGGAGGCTGGTTACAGCAGGACTTGGAAGCGCAGAGGACGCTGGGAGATGAGCAGATGTAGGAAGGGTAGGTAGGGCAAGGTTGCCGAGAACATGACTTGTTTGATAGACAGAAGTATTGGGTGGGCGTGTTACAGATCGGTCTCATGATCTAGAATAGTAAAAAGAAAGGGAAAATGGGAGAGTTATGTTTGATAGTCACTTGACTGTAAACAGCGTAAAGGTTGTTTACCATTTACATGGAATCACGTTTACTATTTGTACAAACCCTTTTTTATTTACCAAAAAACAACCGCCAAGGCCTGCATCTAACCACTTCAAGGTAATGGAAAGTTTCTTTTGTTATAAATAACTGAAAATTACTCACAAAAACTTTGATGTCCCCTGCTGTGTGTCCGTAGATTTCCAGAGCTAAAACCCTTGCCTCGGAGGTAAACTGGGAATTGGGAAGCAAAAACACTCCTGTGTTATATGAGGAAGCTAATCCGGATAAACTCCATTGAGGCACGGCCGGCCCAGCACGCACGTACAGGGGGTCTGGGGAGAGAATGAGAATGAAAATGAAAATGAGAATGAGACAATGGAAAGCATGAAACAATTGCATTCATGGTGATGTAAGAGAAACTTTGAAACTAATTAATAGTACGCTAAGGTCGAAGTACTAAGACAACATTGATAAGTGAGCTTTTTGTGGGTGTCAATTATGTAATATCAGTCAAGAATGAGACTCAGTGTTTCATCACCAGATGAAACACCGAGAAGAGAGTTAAAAATACGACGCGCAGCGGAGTATTTCTGATGAACTTCGAGGTGTTTCATTTGTTGATGAAACACTGTGTTGAATGCTTGATATTACTTCTCAAACAAAATGATTTTAGAGGGAGAAATTAAGGATGCAAAAATGACCAGTTTTTCATTTGATTTCTAAACACTCATTAACCTTAAATTTCCTTTGTATTTTTTTTTATGAATCATCAATGAGTTTGAGAAATATTGATAAAAATGAATCAACATTTCTGCTCCCTGGAAGAAAAATTGGCCAAGAACATTCCAGTTACAGGTACTCCCCAGAACGATACATTAACAGTGGGGCATCTACACAGTTTGCGTTTACTCCTGTGACTGAAGAACACGTATACCGTTTGATATAAAAATTAAGCGCATCCAAGAATTGTGGACTAGATAAAATCTCAAGTAGGCTTCTTAAGTTTGCTAGCCTTACATTTAACAAAAGGCCTTTAGCAGAGATTTAGGCTCCATTTCCGCCATTCTCTTGAGTCCGGTCTTTGTACAGGTGTCGCAGACGGAGTTTACAACCAGTGTACAACTCATTGGGGTGACCAGTTTTTGGTTTTAATTGATCGCAGTCTCAGTTCCACAATTAAAAAGCCATTATTTTAATAATCAATTTATTTATCTCTTCTGCTCGGTTATTACAGGGAAATCTCAGACCTCAGCCTTGATGTATTGACCGGTCCATACATCAAGGCCTCGATCTGAGATTTCCCTGTGATGACCTCACTCTCGGTTAATAAGTGGTATATAAGGCGACTTATTTTGAAATAAAACTGTTTGCGGATGAGCCCTATAAATCGTTACATCACGCAATACTGCCAGTTGTGTTAATCTTTAACAAGCGATCACATATAGTGAGTTTGGGAGGCCTGTGGTCTTTGATTTTCTTGCTGCTGTTTAGCTTTCGGGGAGATAAGTGCGGGCTCATTTTCCTGAACAGCGGCTTTAATCGAGCCTTGTAGAAATTCGTTGATATCACTATATCACTTTAGTCCCTACAAACAGTTTTCATTTGCTTATTTATATTTGTTATATTTGTTTTGAGCTGCTATCGTTATCCAAAAAGACAAAGCTGCTTTATTGCCCTATTTCGTCACTGAATTTGCATCTCAAAAAACCAGTTTACGGCTTCCACCTGTACAAAATAATTTCCAATTCTTTTGTTATGCTTAAGGGTTTTAACAAGATAAAGAATAACACTACAAAGTCTGTATGAAATGAGGCTATTGTGTTTTTAATTCATTTTGTTATCGCTGTGCATGCTTTCTGAATTTGAAAAGAAAGATAAGCCATGGTTAAGTTCGCCGGCAATGTATCTGAACTGTCAAATAATTTAAACAAAATTGGCCTTTTGCAAATACAACAAATGAACGAAAAAAATGCCAAACATATGAAATGGATTTTAATAACATGAGTCTGTGTGTTATTTGACTTTGGACATTAAAACGGAGTCGTATGGCTGCCACCTATACAAAACATAAATGATTTTGAATCGAGCGTTAACCGCTTAGCGGTCGTCCTGTTTGTTGATTTTTAGTATTGCTGGTAATTTTCGACTTTTTTGTTTAAAAGGAGTGTTAAATGGTTTGCCGACCAATCCAAGGGAAAAAATAACGAGTGTGCTCAGCTTGAATGCCCTTTCAATTTAATCAAGGTTGTTTCTCATAATACGTCGTGAGTGTCAGTATGAGCGTACCACTTTGACAGTCCCTTGTCAAATCGAGGCGCTTTCGCAACACATAAAAGACGAAATAAATGAAAGACTAACAATAACCAAGCAAATATCAGTTTTGGTTTACCTGGTAATAAAATGTGTTTGATATCTCCGTTTTTAAACGTCCATGTTGCCTGAAGGTTCGTTCCTTCGTAAATCTTTGCCACGCAGCGAAGCGTATGTCCCGTACGAGCCACAGAAGGACAATTTAATTCCGCTCGCCCTGGGATAGCATGGATGTACAACTCTCGGTGGCTATAACCCAACTCAGGGCCAATGTTCAGCAGTCGAGCTTTAACATCTATTCTCCCCCAAAACGACGCCTTGAAATTAAAAACTGCGCTGTCTCCGGGAGAGTCACCATTTTCATCTCCAATATTAAACGATACTTTTAATCCTAGAGCACTATCATTCATTAAAACAGCGGACATATTTACCCACTCAAAAATCCTCAACGGACCGAAGTGATTTATAACGAGCTTTTTCCCGTACGAGGTAGAATTGTATACTGAATTAGCCCATGTTCCACCACACGAATATCTTATGTCTCCTGTGCAGTTTGCAGTGCAATCCACGCTTGCCTCTTGCGAAACATTAAAATTATCGGCGCAGAAACACAAATTTCCATTTTGTAGGGCAGCAAATTTGTATCTCAAACTTCCACAAAGTTTTACGCAGACATATGGTGTTAAGCTCCAAGTCTTGTAATCCCCAGGCGAAATGCGGAAATGTCTGTTTGAGGGCGAGTCTTTGAAGCAACCAATTTTGAGATTTTCTACAAGGAAGGAAGAGATTAAAAAGGAAAAGATTAAAAACAAAGTCGAAAATTAGTAATGATATTCAGTAGGGTTGAATTCAAACAAAAAGTAGAGTGCTGCGATGTTTTTTTTTCTGTGAATCGCTTGCTGTTGGCAGAGGTATCTAGGTTGTTTTCAGAGGTTCTTCTTATTTTTTAGAGATAAATACTCTTATAATCTAACTCACATACTGATTCCTATTGGAGAGTCGCCATTTTAGGTAAAAATTTCTAAGAGGAATTTTGAAATTAATAGTCGAAAAGCACTTGACGATTATGCTGGGACAAACTAGTATATCTTCAGATAAAACGAAATTACGTAGTTGAAGTCCTCGACCTGTTATTCATTAGACTCCGCAGATGTTTTGAAAGAACTTTAGCCGTCTGGGATGCTAGTGATCCAGAAATTTCGGTTTCATATAAATTGCAAAAATAAAGAAAAATAGAGTGACATGTTTTTTCCTTCCTGATAACAAATACTTTTGTTAAAAGACGAATATATTTTTTCGTGTTAAAATGGTGTGAAAAGGCCCAACAGTTAGTTTGGTACAATTAGCGGGTTTATCAAAAGAGGTTAAGGCATTTCTTGCCTTTGTCTTGGATTTCTAGAATTTTCTAGATTTAACCGACATATAAGGGATTATAAATGGCTGGCTTGATGTTCATTTTAGTTGAGTCCTGTATTTAAGAAAACAATAATTACAACGCTTTATTACAAAACCCAAATTATATGTGATGCATTTTAAAAATGTCATCGGCTGGTAGGCGAGCATCCACGCAAACTAAAACAAGGTACTTCTCTCGAAATGCAAATTCATTATCTATCAAAAATATACAATTTCTCATGCTAAGTAACTTAAAAACAGATAAATTAGATCTCTGCTGGTGTGCGGCTTTGAAAGAAAAACAAAAATTCTGCGTTTAATTTTTTTGAAGCCATTTTGTGGAGTAATTATGGAAAAAAGCTTTTATCGGGTCGTTGCCAAAGAAAACTCATACTTGTAACTTTTTGCTCTTAGCTTTTTAAACGAAAATTTTGCTAAATTACAAGAAACAAACGGCGGTTTTTATGTTGGGTTAAAGATGGACGCTGTTAATGGTGCGGCAATTCTTGCCCTTTTTATACCCTTGACATTCGGCGGGAATTCTTCATTCTCAAGCGGCCGTCTTTTCTTTTAGTAGATGACATGTTGTTGACTAAATGTGCGTTATAGAGCCAGTGAGGGTAGCAAAGGAAATACCCTGCCATAACATGTTATAAAAATTAAAAAACGCTGCCAAGCAAATGTAAAATACTGGCGATTATAGACCAGACAATTTTGACTTACCAACATCTACAGCCGAGGAGTAATTGACCAAGAAACGTAAGAATAGTATGAAGGAAATATAAACCAAGTTTCCTATCTCCGTCATGACTACAGCACTGTATTAGCGTAGAATCCGCCTGAGAAAAGCTCAGGCGATCTTAAAGCAAAGAAGAACCAAAACTAGAGGTTAACATGGCAAACTTAGTTCACGCAAACGTTTAAAGTGCGGCGACTGAAAAATGTCATATTGTAGCATTTAAAGTGTCAAGAGTTTGTGGAGTGTACCTTTGCAGTGGCGGCGCCATAAAATAGGAGATATGCCAAACGAATAATGCTTAGAGACTACGATGGGATCAGTCAAGTTAATTACAGTACGCGCCGCGTACAAACAGCCTCGTTTTCGTGCAGTGTTAATAAAGGATTCTGGACATCTGCCACAAAACTCTGCCATTTGATTGGTCATAGCGAAGGAAAGCTAATACAGAAAAATTCTCGATTAATATTGTAATAGTAAACAATAGAGTTAAATACAAATAATATAAAGGAACAAAACTAGCTATTGTAGACAGGTTATCAAAGTAAACGTCTTGATTATCTAATGTGATAGGGGAACTAATTGAAAAAAACGTAAAAATCTTGCAGATTATTACGTGCTGCCTTCCTTTTTTTCCCTTTAAACTGTCTTTTCTATTTTTTGTTGTTTCTTCTTCTTTTTTGTTGCCACTGTCCCCGGTTGAGATCTCCTGTATTTGTAAGTGGATCAAGCGCTCCATGATGAATACTCCTTTTTAATATAAATATTTTTCTCTTCTGGTCATCGACTATAAAACGAAAACGAAACATTAACGTAAGCCCGGTTAGGAAATCGTATTTTCTTCAGTCAGTCAATCAATTTGAATCTGACAATAAGGAAAAAAAAAACAACTTTTATTTTATTTTCCTCTGTAAAAATACAGACGGTGCTTTTCGTCTCACCCGGAGTTAAGTTTTGACAAACGGCTATAACCCCGACAGGGTTTTGAACGGAAATACGTAAGAAAAACCTTTTTCATCGAGAAAAAATAACAGGAAAAACAAACAAATGTCCATTTTATGTTTACGGAGTTTGCTATTTGCCTAATTTAGCCCCGTGCTGCGTTGCGAAATCTTTTATGAGGCTGGCTTTCTGATGAAAATATCCTGAATTATTTGCATAAAAATAAAAACTAAATACTTCGGCCCGAATATTTTTTTTATCCGCCGATTCCATATCCCCATTGAGTAGAAAGGATTCGAGAGATTCGATAGTTAGCTAAGACAAGCCATCTTTCTGAAGGAGAACAAGTGTAATCTGAAATGGTTGAAAGCCTTCTTTAGAAACAGCTGCAAATCGTATTTCTTTGAAGCTTAATTGCAGTTTTATGGTACAAGACTAACACCACCAGATACCCCATTTCCTCTATCAAACTCCCAGCCTTTTGTAAGTACTTGATCGAAGTCTGAAGCGCCAAAAATTAATTTTGTCTCCAACTTTACCAAGTCCCCATTCCCAAAGGGGGTATTTTGCATGCTTAATTATGCCGCCAGTATTAGCACCATATACATTCTATACAGGTTGTCGCAGAGTATGTGGAAATGTCGTGCAGGGATTTTATTCATTTAATTACAAATATCAAATAAATACAAACCTAAAGGTATTATATTGCTGAATTGAAACGACTGACAGATCTAAGTTTGCGTGCAATTTTTCTTCTTCGTTTCCTTTTTTTCTCCTGTGCAAAAATTTCGAATAAGAGGTTGGAAATGCTGAAACGTGTAGTTGGACCTTACGGTTCCAACAACTGCGACGCCAATGAAAACGACGCTGAAAAGTAGACTTTTCGTCTTTTTAAACTTTCTGTCGATAATTCCAAGTCACCCAATTACTGAAAAGTAGGGAAATTAGGTCAGAGCTGAAGAGAGGGGACTGCATGCGTGCGAGTTCAGACAGAGATGGTAAAATTCAGTTTATCGCCTTGTAGTTCAGACTCGTACCCAGCCGCTATTTATGTGTTTTTGGAGTGAGAGAAGATTGAGGTTAAGTTAAGGCGCGCGGGGACTCACGGGAAGGGACGAGCCTTCCCATGAGTCCCCGCGCACCTCAATCTAATCCCAATCTCCTGTCACCCAAAAACACATAAATAGCGACTGGGTACGAGTCACCTTTTAGTTACCGTCCTTCTGTCGAGTAAACTTAAAATTTGATCAGGTCACGTGCAGGGAACGGCAAAGATATTTACAAAAAAGAATGATGCACGCGCAGAGTTCTTATTTTGCTTGCTAAAACTACTGCCGTACTTTCGACGTCGTTGCCGTTGCCGTCACCGTCGTAGTTTCTTAAGGTCCCCATTTTCTCATTAGCCAAGTAAAAGTTAAATTAAATAAGACAATTATTAATTATAGGAAAGGTGGAAATTCATTATTAAAACTCCTGGCCTAGATCATTAAGTTTCCCTCAAGTTTAAAAGAACAGAAAACTGATGCCCACATGGGGGCGATGCCCGGGCCTGGGGAACTTCTTATTATAATGTTTTTGACCCCTTTTGGTCTAAAACTGGGAATATATTTTAGCCTCTTGGGTCTAAAGTAAGGTATGTTTTTGTGACCTCTAGTACAAGGGTTCTTAAATTGGTATTCTTATCATTATGTGAAGTCACGCAACGAGACGGGAGAGGAAAGAAGACAGCAAACCTTGTGTGACAAGCGTGACAATAATTTTGTTTGAAAAAAGATTTTATCCAAACTTCACCTTCCTTTAAACGAATCTTTTTGCAAAAGACCAGAAAATATTAATGTTAAGCGAAGATTACGACAAAATATGCAAAGTAATAGCCCTGTCACGTTTGTCACACACAAGCGTTTTGTCGTCCTCTTCTTCCTGCAGTCCTGTTGCGTGAACTCACTGATCTGGTCTTGAGGACAGCTGTTCGGGTCTCAAAAAGGGTGAAAACGACTTTTTTGGGTCTGATAATAGGGTCAGGTGTTCAGGAAGCATGCTATACGTCAATTGACCTAAATTATCCAAGAGACCCTCACACCCCTTCCCCCTTAATTCCCCACCGGATTATAGGTAAAATACATGGATGTAAAAAGGGCGCAAATAATGAAAACGTTTCTCTGGTCAGAAACCAAACTATTCTGGCAGTCTGTTTTTACAATGACTGAAAGATATCTCACGCGCTGATTGGTCGAGAGCTATGGTCTATAAGAGTACAGACCTTGCAAAATGACCTGATCTTGGCACCATTTGTTTTTCTTTTTCTTACCGAGAAACTTCTATGGATGGATGGATGTCGAAACTGTCAATGTTATTGAAAAAAACAAACAAACAAACAAATTGACGACAATTTTCCATGGTCCATTCTCGACCATAGACTGACGTCAAAATGTTCATAAAACTTTGCAGTGAAAACCTCGCCTGCGGCTAGTGGTTCCACTTGAGTTTTGAAGAATCTGATGTTATTTCTATGGTCGATAGGAGTACGATCATGAAAAATTGTTGTCCATTTCTTAAACTGAAGGCCTCTTTCCTGTTGTGGCCCCATTTTGTTTATACAGTCTGCGTTTAGGCGTCCCTTCCTTGAAGAGTCGTAGGATCAGTATGAGGTTCAGACATACTGCCCACCTACTCCTCCCTCAATGATCCCTACGTTAACAC